CCAGGCTAGAGTGCAGCTCACTGCAAGCTCCACCTCCTGGGTTCACGCCATTCTCCTGCCTCAGCCTCCCGAGTAGCTGGGACTACAGGTGCCCGCCGCCACACCTGACTAATTTTTTTGTGTGTTTTTAGTAGAGACGGGGTTTCACCGTGTTAGCCAGGATGGTCTCAGTCTCCTGACCTCGTGATCCACCCGCCTCGGCCTCCCAAAGTGCCACAGGCGTGAGCCACCGCACCTGGCCAAGCACTGTAGTTTTAAAAGTGCTTTTCACATATATTACCTACTGGTTACATCTATGAAAAGTCATAATATATGTGGGGAAAGACTTGTGACCAGGACACATGTATAAACTAGGCCCTTGGTTTATTTTTAAAATTCAGTGGGAGAAGTTCCCAGGCCATTTTCAGGGAGCTTGGTTCCCTATTCCTGCATGTCAAGGGAAAAGTGTTTTCTTCAGTAAACTCCGGAAAGTGAGGAAATGTTAAAGCAGTGAAGCTTGAGGCTGCCTTCCAATGCTTGGATTTAGGTATCCTGTTTTATTAATAGATGCCCAAGTTTGAGCGTGAGTTGTGCAGATTTTAAATACGCTTCTTTAGTTTGGTTTATTTCCATAGTTGCCTAGTGAATTTATCGACTTTTTTATAACAAAGTAATTTTTAAAAATACGAACATTCATACAGAGTAAGAAATAACTTGTCTAATATTTCACGTGGAAGTTTTCCATTTGATTATGAAATTCAAGCTGGGTATGGTAGCTTACGATGGTAATGCCAACACTTTTAGCGGCAGAGGCATAAACCCACAATTGCTTGAGCCCAGGAATTTGAAACCAGTGTAGATTAATATAGCTAGACCCTGTCTCTAGCAAAAATGTAAAAATTTGCCAGGTGTGGTGGCATGCACCTGTGGTCCCAGCCACTTGAGAGGCAGAGGTGGGAGCATCACTTGAGCCCAGGAGGTTGAGGCTGCAGTGAGCCATGATTGTGCCACTACATTCCAGCCTGGGCAACACAGCAAGACCCCATTTCAAAAAAAAAAAATTCAGTTAGAAGTTTGCCCTTTTTAACTACTCCATATTATTTCAGTGTTAGAAATTCTATTAGGATTCTTGGCTATGACTCTGTAAAAATAAATAAAAAATCATATAAGAGTCCCCTGGTTGTGAAGCTTATGGTGGTTTTGTCTGACCTAGGGGAAATAGGGCAAGTGTTTTCTCTTTCTTTTGTGTGTGCATAGTGAAATATACGTAACATAAAATGTACCATCTTGTCCATTTTTGATTGTATAGTTCAGTATTGCAGTCATCCCTCAGTATCTTCAGTGAGATTGGTTTAAGGATCCCTTGGATACCAAAATCCTCAGATGCTTAAGTCCCTTATATAAAATGGTGTAGTATTTGCATATAACCTGTGCATATCCTTTTGTATACTTTAAATCAGCAGTCACCAACCTTTTTGGCACTAGGGACCTGTTTTGTGGAAGATAGTTTTTCCATGGACGAGGGTGGGGGATGCTGGGGATGGTTTCAGGATCATCAGGCATTAGATTTTCACAAGGAACACACAACCCGGATCCCTCACATGCGCAGTTCTCAAACCTATTGAGAGTCTAATGCCTCTGCTGCTAATCTGACAGGAGGCAGAGTTCACGTGGTCGCTAGCCTCCTGCTGTGCAGCCTGGTTCCAAACAGGCCATGGACTGGTATCACTCCGTGGCTCTGGGGTTGGGGACCCCCTGCTTTAAATTATCTCTAGATTGTTAATGCCTAATACAGTGTAAACACTGGTGTCTCATGTAAGTGGAATCATACAGTATTTGTCTTTTCGTATGTGTCTTATTTCACTTAGCATAATATCCTACAGGTTTATCCATGCTGTAGCATATATCAGAATTTGATTCCTTTTAAAGGCTGAATAATGTTCCATTGTATGTGTATGCCGCATATTGTTTACCCATTCATCTGTTTCTATTTCCTTGTAGACTGTGAGAACATTCTCTTTGAAGGGAATGACTACCAAGCTCTTTGGTCAAGAAACTCCAGAGCAGAGAGAAGCCAGAATAAAGGTGCTAGAAGAACAAATAAATGAAGGAGAACAACAGCTGAAGTCTAAAAATCTGGAAGGCAGGTAAAGATACTGCGATGTTTAAGTAAGCTAGGCTTGTAGACTATATGGCAAATTATTTTTATTTGTAACAATTCCCAGCTTCATTGGCATCCCTGAATACAGCCTGTTCCTTTAAAATGCATTCGTAAGAAATTTGAGTTATCAGGCTGCGTATGGTGGCTCACGCCCATAATCCCGACACTTCAGGAGGCTGCGGTGGGAGGATTGCTTGAGCGTAGGAGTTTGAGATCAGCCTGGGCAACATAGGAAGACCCTGTCTCTACAAAAATAAATAAATAAAAATAAAAGAAAGCTGAATTATAAGAAATCATGTTATAGAAACAGTTGTTTCAATGTGGGGGAAAGAGAAATAAAAGAGTTTCAACGTCATAGTATTAGTTTCCTGCACTTTTCCTGATTTCTACCCTTTGTACTTTCCCTCTGCCGTTTCTTCTCCCCCTGCCCCTCCTTCAGTACCCAGCTGAAGGGTTACTTTATCGTGAAGCCTTCTCAGGCCATCATGGCATTTAATTCATGCCAGTATGGTATGGCGGTTTTGTATTAGATGATTGATTGTTCTGGGTGACTATGCCTGGCTAAATTTAAGCCCCTCAAAGTCAGTGATTGTATCTTTTTCACATTCATGTCCCAGTGCCTTGCATAGGACTTAGCATGTAATTGTTACGTAAGGATTTCTAGAAATTCAGTTCTCAGAGACCTATTATCACTGTTTGACGCATTTTCCTTATTTTTGTTTTCATCTGACAGAGAATAGACCAAGGCAGGCCAAGAGTGTATTATGGGTTTTGAGGTGGTTTTCTTCATTTTTGGAACTACTGGCACCAAATATGGCAAAGTAATAGAATTTAAAAAGACAGGCTGGGCGCAGTGGCTCACGCCTGTAATCCCAGC